TGTTGTTTGGCGGGTCCGGGCTGGGGATTCGAACCCACCACCTTAGGTGTACGTGGCTGGCGCCTTAGCCAGTTGAGCTATAGGCGCTGAGCCCTATTGTGTATTCTTTAAAGAAAAAAATTTGTCCACTCCTGCACTAGGTGAATATATACAGGTGAATTCAGAAAACAGTTCCCAGCTTAACAGAACACCTATTTGTATATAAAATCACAATGCCCACCCTTCAGATATGCATGAAGACCCCTGGAGGCCTTACACATTATGGGCCACACCCATCCCTGTCTTGGGTCAAACAGCCTCCTCCTAGAACTTCAAGGTAACCCAGAAACCACAGCCACTCATGATCACAGTAAACACAAGGGCTTGCCTCTGGTAAAAAGTCAGACTTTCTGTAACATTTGCATTATTTCTTAGCCTTTGAGCATGTGTACAACTGTGCTGGCCATGTATGCGCATTTATCAGGCCATGTATCCATGTTTGTCTTTTTATTTTTCTATTTTTATTATTATTTTTTTGAGACAAAGTCTGAAGTTATCACCCTGAATAGAATGTCATGGCGTCATAGCTCATAGCAACTCTGAGATCTTCTCGCCTTAGTTTTTTCTATTTTTAGTAGAAACAAGGTCTAACTTTTGCTCAGGCTAGTCTCAAACTCATGAACTCAAGCAATCCACCCACCTTAGCCTCCCAGAGTGCTAGGATTACAGGTGTGAGCCACCACCCCCGTCCTTATCTTTTTTAGGTCGCAAGTGAATTTTTTAAATTTAATTGAGACAATTGCACTTTGTCACCCTTGGTAGAGTGCTATGGTATCCTAGCTCACAGCAACCTCCAACCTTGGGCTCAAGTGATTCTTTTGCCTCAGCCTCCCAAGTAGCTGGGACTACAGGCACCTGCCACAACACCTGGGTAGTTGTTTTTTTTTTTATTTAGCATGCCGGGCTGGGCTTATACCCACCATCTCCAGAGCATGTAGCCAGCACCCTAACCACCAAGCTATGGGCGCCCAGCCCATAAGTGAAGTTTTGGAGTCTTGCGCACCTAATGCCGTTGTTCCCATAAGCCCTGTGTTTATGTTACATGATTTTGTATCCATGATGGTTTTTAGGAATGCTGCTTAGGTTGTGTTACATCAGAACTTTTTTTGGAGGGGGGACAGAGCCTCAAGCTGTCCCCCTGGGTAGAGTGCTGTGGCATCACAGCTCACAGCAACCTCCAACTCCTGGGCTCCAGCAAGTC